AGACGGCTTCCCTCTGCGTGTGAAACTACAGAGATGAGTGTGAAGCTGCCGATGGTCTGGAGTTTGTTTTTTCATCGACTGCTGACTAAGAAGATAACACAGCTGTCAAAGCTGTCATCGTTTGAGTGCATTCCTGGAAACAGCAACCCGTATCTACTGTATCAAATGTTCGATGACAAGGAGAGACAGTAAATGAAACTTGTTTTGGATGGAATGCTAATACTACAAGATCACAGTAAAGATAACAGAGGGCAATTTGATAAAGGGAACTGGGTATAAACGTATGGCTCACGACCATAGCAGAAACACAAATGGGTAATACAATATTCCTCTTCAATATCCCAAAAATGATCTGTACTATGAACTTAAGGCAATAAGAAGTAGAACATTTAAAACATGTCTGTACATGCTTTCCACTGCGTATACAAAAAGGGGTAATTTGTATTGTCAACAACTGCCTTTAAGGCTTACTTCTCTCGTCCTAATCGTTCCCTCCCTCTCTTCTCTCTCCCGTAGCGGCGGTGGTGGCCGGGTCGGACATGATGCCAGGACAGATACCTGACCCTTCGATGGCGGCGGGCTCCCTGCCCTGCCTGGGCCCGCTGGCGGGCATCTCGGCCACCACACTCACTGATCAACTCAAGCTAGCCGACTTCCGCCAGCTGGGCACCATGCTGTCCCCGCTGCACTTCCTGGGGCGGCTGGGGAAGAGGCCGCTGGCCATCAAGACAGAGGTGAGGAGGGGGAGAAAGGAGAGCTAGTGCAGCAGGAGGTGAAAGATGTACATCGAGTCAGACAGTAGAGAAGAAGAAGGAGGGTTTTAGACTCAGGATGTTTTAAAGTCATCCATTAAGGCAGTTGTTATCATAATCTGTCAAATATACTTAAAGGGGACCTATCATGCAAAATGCACTTTTGTACGTCTTTTATACATGAATATGTGTCCCCGGTGTTCCAGGGAACTCACCAAGTGTCAGAAAACACAACCCTCTCTATTTTCCTCCATACCCAAATCTCTAAAAAAGGGGCTGCAACGGATCTGATAAAAACTGATCCAGATTTGAACACTGTCCTGACGTCAGGACAGTGGCGCTACGGCTATTGGGCCAACTCCACGAATCAGGAGGAGACAACCACAGCATTGCCCTCTAGATGGTGCTGTTGCTCACAGAATCAACCCTTGCTAAAACAGATCTAAAAAATGTCAAATTGAGCGAAATGAGGCATGGCTAAAATGCATGATCTGTTTGGTATTTTGAAAAAAAAAAAAAGTATAAATATGCCTTATATAGGTATGGTCCTACACTATATTATTCAAATATAGCATGATAGGTCCACTTTAAGTTTACAGTTGTTGAAAATAATGTAATCATTCTTAAATTAATCAAACGCAAGCAATTCAAGATTTCTGTTCATTAAAATAAAATAATGGAAAGAATATAAAAAGAGAGGTTTATAATTACGGAAATACTTAATATTCTGGTACCAGTTAATGTCCTGACAGTAGGCTTAATATATACAGTATGTTGGTATAAAATATATATTCTATCCATAAAATGTTATTGTCAGTAGTTGTAGGTGCATTGATCTGAGCTTGTTTGAGGATAGAGTGTGATGACAATACAAATATTTCTATGCAGATTACTATATTAATGTTGATGGTCAGTAAACATAGTATGGTAAACTGAAAATACAGTATACTTTGGCTTGTTAATTTTGTATGTTGAATTTTTCCCCCTCCAGTGCTCAACAATATTTACTATAGAGGTTGCACAACATGCATGTTGTTTTGGTGAGGCAATTAACACTATTGGTTGTAGGTTTATTGATAAAATGTTTGTTTGCAGATGGATGAAGATGATGATAGGAGGAAGCGGAGACGAGACAAAAACAAAGTAGCAGCCGCGCGATGCCGAAACAAAAAGAAGGAACGGACTGACTTCCTTCAAAGGGTGAGTTCATGACACAGCATTGCAGAGAGGTTAAGAATGGAAGCCAAGAACGTGACTTAAAGGGGACCTATTATGCAAAATCCACTTTTTCATGTCTTTTATACATAAACATGTGTCCCCTCTGTGGAAAGAGACTCTGAAAGTTTCAGGACAAAATATTGGCTCACTTTTTTTCCTGATCCATTTATATAAAAAAATGAGCTGATCAGATTTTGGCCACTTTATGATGTCATAACGATTTTTTGGCTTGTGTAACCATTAGCCAATAACCAACCAAGGTAACACCCGCCCACCTTATCACCTGAATCTCCTCCTAGAGCACCATTGTGTTCTTTTTAACCAAATATCTCTCAGAGGGGCGTGGGGAGTGGCACCTTATTTTCATCTAAAGTAACAGACAGAGAATCAGCACTTTTGAAACAGGGCTGAAACAGAGGGGATTATGGGATGCTTCAATGCACGATCAGTTTGGTATTTCGAGCCAAACACTTCAGAGACATGTTTTGTATATCTAATACCTATAATATATTGATGAAAAACAGTATAATAGGGGACGTTTCAGTTAACCTGAACAGCTGATGAAAGTACTCTGAACATTGTATTTGTCTGGTAGTATCTCATAATTCAACATCTTTGTCCAGGAGTCGGAGCGTTTGGAGGTGGTGAACTCTGACCTGAAGGCCCAGATCGAGGAGCTCCGTATGGAGAGGCAGCAGCTAATGGTGATGCTCAATCTCCACCGGCCCACCTGCATTGTGAGGACCGACAGCGTCAAAACTCCTGAGAGCGAGGCCAACCCCTTTCTGGAGCAGCTGTCCGCCGACGCCAAGTGAAACCGGGAAACCAGGGACGCAGGAGTCCCTGACGCCCAAACTAGCACCACGGTGGTAGCCAGTTAAAATGAAAAACATAACTGGCAATATCTAAACAAGCACTTGAGCTCCAAGACTTTTGGAGACTCTGCCCAAAGACCTGAGGTTGTAGGGCTTCCTTAGTACTGCTACATGAGCTGGCTCTGTCCATTGGAAGACTGGAAATATCCAGTTTCATCTCCACATTAACTGTTGTTGTTGACACCCGCTGTGCCTAATGTTACTTCAACCATCTCTACATAAAAGGGACCAATGGAAAAAGAAGAGTACGACTGGAAACAACGCCGAGGAATCACACTAATATCAAAATGGTGCTCTGTTACAAAAGCCCTGAGTAGATTGTGTGGCATTTTTGAATGCAGATACCCAAAAAGGCTTTTGCAGCTTCCCTTTGTATGCTATCGGAAATATACAGGTGTAGAGTTTTTAGGACATAATACTCAATACAAGTACACCAAACAGAGTAGAGTTTTTTTTTTGTAATGTTGATTTCTTTACCCTGCCTCGACGATGGCAGTTACCGGTTGATCCGATTTGTGGTGACGCTGGCGTCATAAAAAGCACATATACACAAAATGTTTACACCCTTGTTTTTAGGACTTGTTGTCTGTCCATTATGTACTTGTTTTATACTGCTTTGTATACATAAACATATATGAAATGCTTGTTAATCACTTGATGTGATTTGTCTTTTCAATCTTTTCCAGTCTTTGTCTGTCATGTTGCGCTGTCTAACAGCTGTGAAAACAAGCAGCACTCTTTTCAGCTGAGCAGTATTTCAATGTCTGTTATGGACCTGTATCTGCTATGTATGACTCTGTTACCCTGAATAGATTAAATTTTATTTTCTAAACTACAAGAAAGAGCATGTCTTGTTATTTGCAATTACCCCATCAGACATGCAAGATTTCAGTTCAAATCCTTGTAGGCTATTACTTCCTCCCAATCATGACACTTAAACTATCAAGTGACGAAGGTTGTGCAATCATGTTTTCTTCGGTTGAGGCACATTGCCAAACGCAGGGCTTTACTTTAATTTGCAACTCAGTAAAGGTCAGTCATGAATTTATTTCTACCAGTACAGGCATGGTTATTACCACATTATTGCAATATTTTAGAATGCATCTTTACATTACTTTCTTTAAAGCATAAAGAAACACCTTTAATTGTAAATATTTTTTGAATTATTATTTGTGACACTTTCTTCAATACCTTCACATGCGTTGACCTCTTTTCTTAATTGTGTTTTTGATAGAAGACTTGGTAGCATTGATTTGTTTGTAGAATGGTATACTAATATTATAATGTTATTTCAAGACTAGTCAATTTGTTGCTGATGGAGGACAGCATAATCTCTATTTCACTACATTTTAAAACAGCAGAAAAAAGGTTTGCAATTGGGACCATTTATACTCGTTTTTGCTGGGAGAAAGTACACCCTAAAACAGAGTGAATTGTGAAATGTGTGTCGTTTTTCTGCTGCAGCATTAACTATAGCCTGTTCATGGCTCGGCTCAGATGCGGTCAACGGCTCCATCTAGTGGTACGTTTTATGAACTGCATATTTGCAGTAGAGCCGACAACTCACAATATTGGCTGATATATTGTCAGAGAGGCTTAACGTAAATATAATATTAAAATTATATTTCTTTAAACCTTTATTTTCAATCGAATTTCCATTGAGAATATGAATTCCATGGCAACAGCCGTTGGTTTCCTGCGGTTAAACCATCTTTATTTTGGTGAGGCTTCACTTTCAAAAGTGTCAAAACTGGTTCAGGTAGGCAGTAGTGTTCTTTACTAATACAATATTACGTGGCTTTCAAATAGGGAGCAAATGTTTGTTTTAAATACTTTGCAAAATTAGGTTTAATTTGGTATTTTTCTGCTCTAACCGTCGCTTTTTATGAATGAAAACAGCTGATAAACACATGAGAGCTAAAAGCTAATCAATGCTAACGCTAGCTAGATACGACCTTTTTTGGTCTTCAACAAATACAGGTTAACTAAAAATTAACTTTGCACTCCTGTATACATTGAGTTGAATCTGTTGTATACCGTATTTCCTCACTTGTTCAGTTTATACTGCTACAGAAAATATTTTAACAAAAGCTCACCTCTTCTCCTCAGAGGTTGTGCAGGTAGCCTACAGGTTAGGTGGACTTGTGGTGTGATAATGGAACAGTTTGAGGAAGAGGAAGAGCAGCAGCCATCTGATCAGTCAGACCTGCTCACAGGAAGCCAGGATCAGGTGGAAGATGAGGAGAAGCCAAGCCAGGGTCAAGAGGGCAACAGTGGCGATGAGTGGGACACTGATCTGGAAACAGACAGTAGGTTAAAGTGACCTAAACTGTAAGACTATAAAGTCTTATAAACATGGATAATCTTCAACGCCCTTACCTCTTCTCTCTTCCTGTGTTCTCCTGTGTTGTTCCTTCCAGGTGCCACCGATCAGAAGCAGAGTCAGTCCCGTGCAGAGCTGTACCTGCAGGCCTGTCAGAGGACGGGCTCAGTTCCTGTATCCTCCTTTCTCCGTAACTTGGGTGACACCAATCTCAACCTAAACCACTATGGTGTAGGACCTCTGGGCACCAAAGCTCTGGCTATAGTTCTGAAAGTAGGGTGGCTTTGTTACCTTTAACTATATTTACTGTTATGAAATATTTTAATTATCATGTTTAAAGGCCAAATTTCACGGTGTGTGCTGTGTGCTCTGCATGTGTGACCATTAAAGAGGGTTTCATCCCTCCGATTCTATTTGATCTATTCTAATAATCATTATTTCAGTAATTTTATTGTTTTTCCAGACTGACAATACTATCACCAACCTTGAGCTGGAGGAAAACTCACTTGGGCCCGAGGGGACGCGCTATCTGACGGAGATGCTTCAAACAAACATCACCATCCAAAGTCTGGTAAATATTCTATAACTATTGAATAAAATCAGTTCTGAAAAACTGTACTGGTAATCATCTGCTCTTAACTGCAAGAGGAATGACACATTCTTAAAATAAATATTAATAATACACAAATGCTTGTTTAATCTCTTAAATCTTTTTGTATCAGAATCTTTCCAACAACCAGCTGGGCCAAGAAGGAGCGTACACCATCTCCAAAATGCTGTCAGAAAATTACTGTGTCAAATCCCTCAAACTTTCAGGTAACCAACTAAGTATTTTAACCATTTAGGATGTTGTTATTGAGTCCTTTGCACACCTCTCGCTGTAACACAATGGAAATACGTTTTATACTAATACATAAATAAATGTCCCTTTCTTCCCTAGGAAATGATTTTGATGATGTTGCAGCAAAATATTTAGCTGATGCTTTAAAGGTTAGTACAAAGTATTGAATCTGAAACATTTTTGCAATTTTTTTATGAATATATAGAATGAATCAAGAGTGTATCTGGTCTACATTTGCATTAATCCTCAACATTCTCTTTCGTTTTAGGGAGACTATGTGATCACAGAGCTGGACCTCAGCCACAACATGTTCAGTTTTACAGGAGGACAACACCTGGGCCATATGTTAGGTACACTAGTTTATTTCTAGATGGATAGAATTGGAGGGATGAAACCCTCTTTAATGGTTACACATGCAGAGCACACAGCACACACAGTGACAGTTGTTCTCTGCTTTTAACCAGGAGTCTAGTACTAGGAGAAGTGGGCAGCTATTGTACAGCGCCCGGGAGGCAATGGGAGTGGGGGGGGGGAAGGGGGATGTCCGATGCCTTGCTCAAGGGCTGACTGTATTAGGAGAATTTCACTGCAGAAGCCAAATACGTCATATAAATAAACACGTCATTCAATTACAAAACTCATACAGATATCACAAATAAATTCCAAATCACATTTTTATCATTTTAACTTTTTCCTGCAATAAATATAGATGTAACTCATCAAACCTTTTTTTTTGCATGTTTTCCCTATTCAAACATGGATAAAACCATGTCTTGTACATAATGTGAACACTAATTTTCGTACCAATTATATTTAAATACCGTATTCCCCCTTCAGTTTGTGATTTGCCTGGCAGAAATAGGAATTAAACTAATATAACAAACAATTTGTCTGCCCATTCTTATATTGCAATAATTACATTACAGTGACAGTCAATTCCAAAAACCCTCAAAAATGTTAACATATATTTAGCAGTCAAAACAAACTGAGGATATATACTTTACAGCTTATTGATGTCATTGCAAAAATGAAATATTTATATTTTTTTAACTTCATGAATATTTGTGATACGTATTTTGTACTTTGACATTTGTTTCCCCTTTCATAAAGCTGCAAATGTAGGTATTGAAGTCCTAAACCTGAGCTGGAACCCCCTTCGTCTGGGGGGTGCTATGGCTGTTAGTGCAGGGCTGAAGGTGACCAGAACAACACACTCACAATGCATAGTGTATATATAACGCTCTGTTTCCTATCACAGACATTTCACTCACATTTTCCTCAGGTAAACTCGACTCTGAAGCAGCTCGATCTGTCGTGGAACGCTTTCGGCCAAATGGAGGCAGAGTCACTGGGTCAGGCCCTGAAAAACAACCGGACGCTGGTGCTGCTGGACCTCAGCGGTAACCATGTGGACGATCAGGCTGTGACACTTCTCTGCCAGGGTCTGATCACCAACGACACCCTCGGGACCCTCAAGGTGAGCAGGTGGATCCTGGATCAGCGGTATTTATTATGCAGCATCATGGCACTCTAACTGTTAGGTTTGGTGTGTCTGTGTTTTGTTAAGCTCTCACAAAACCCCCTGACGAATATCGGAGCTCTCACGCTGCTAAAAACGGTCAAAAACATGAAATCAGCCTTGGAGGAGATTGATATTTCTGTAAGTGCTGTACATTTCCTCTCAGAACATGAATAATAATATGTATCTTGTATTGAATGCCTTTAGAGCTTCTTCTAAGCTCTGACCGTGTTTGTGCAGACGGTGTTTGTGAATGAGGAGTTTGTGGAGCTGCTGGAAGTAGCCCGTCAGAAGCGTCCTGCTCTGGATGTTCGGCACAGCGCCATGAGCTACGTCACCAGGAACCTATCTGCCCTCCAGATCTTACGGGTCAGTGGTCAGGAAAGAAGAGAAATCTGGGGGAAAATAGGTTCATAGTTATAACTAGGATTCAAGTGTTTATGCTCATAATGTTACACAAATAGCATCCTAAAAGAGGTCCCAGAGATATTTTCTTTAAATGTATAATCTTGAAACTTAATTTGGATTCTTAAATAGAAATTCCTATCAGAGCGAAATGAGAGCATTATGGATTTCTTTGAAGCTTTGGATAAAGAAGGAACAACCAACGTCTCCACCTCAGACTTCAGAAAGGCTGTGAAGGTCAGGCTTACTTTCTCACAGCAAACAATCTATCAAAGAAAAGTATTTAACTAGTATTCAGATATTAACTATTGTATGGATGAGTATAGTGAAAATAATGTTGTCATGCATGCAGGCAGCGAACATACCTCTGGATCAGCAGCAGCTCGAGTGGTTGCTCAGGAAGTTTGACAAGAACTGCACCTCCACCATTATGTACAGGTCAGTCTGTGATTTGTATTTACCATGCAGACATAAAAGGTATTATTTTATAGTCAAGAAGAAATAAGTAACCATTTTAAGAAAAATAGTCCCATTTTACACAATTTTCATCTTTGTCATTAGCTCCAAACCAGCTGAAGTTTAGAACGTAGGACATTTATTTGCCTGTGATTTAAACGTATATACATTTTAGACATCCCTCTTTTTTAGTGGGAAAACAGGTTTCATTTATTAGTGTAAAACAGTTTGAATAATCAAACAGAATAATCTTAGCTCAAGCTTTGTCTAGGTTTGTCATGAAGGAGATTTTAATTTGTTTGAAATATCCCTTTGAGTGTAAGTAATCCTTCACTTTTAACTCTTTGTGAAGTCAGTGGTCTCTTTTTGTTGCAGTGAGTTTGCTGAGCTGTCGTAGAAACAGAGGATGAGGAAGACATCTGAAAATAAAATGTTACGGAGTCAGTTATTTAGTACGTCTTCCATTTTGCCATACAAGTCTCACAATGTTACATTTTTGCGAAAATATAGAGATAAGGGAGCGGAACTGACACACAACCAAGGACAGGTGTATCCTAATAACAACCACCCTCCCCTCTGTCCACCCGCTGTAGTCCTTAGCTCAACCCAGTTCTGTCCAGTGTGAATACTTGAACCGCTGACACCAACCAGCTGCACCCACCTGAGCGCTGCCAGCTGTGTCTGCGGTTGGGACACAGGGTCCTCCACCTCATTCTCTCCATCCAAAAATAATCTTCAGGTATGACAACAGAACATAGGAGGAAGAAAAAGAGCTGGCATCCATATCAAAGGACCGAGAGGAGAGAAAGAATAGAGCCAGATGGAAGCTAGTTGTCTCGCCCACAGTGGTAAGCTTTGAATGAAACAGCCTGTAAAGGAAACAGCACGTCGATGAATATGGATGTGCAGCATTACTTATTCAGGGCCGGCAGGGTAGGATTATTGAAGGTGAATTGTCTCAAGGTGTGATATCCGACAATCAGATCTGTCAGGTGGCTTCAGAGGTAACCACAGAGGAGACGCTGACAGGAAGCACCTCTTTATTAACTCATATGGAAACGGCTTGACACCTAATATTATGGGTCATGAGAATACGGGACCACCCTTTTAAATGTATATCCTATTTCAGATAGAGCTCCTAAGATGAATTAATGACATTTCAACTATTAAATCAGTCGCCAACTATTTTGATACCCGATGAATTGGTTTGAGTAATTATTTAAGGAGTCAAAGATTTCTGATTCTAGCTTTTTAAATGTGAAAATTCTGTTTTTTTCCACTCTTGATGAGCCGTTGAGTTTTGGACCTGACAAGACTATTGGAACATTTTGAGATTCTATAGACATGGTTTTCTTTAAATCCTAAGCCAAATGCACCTCAACTCCCTCCATGTTTCTGTCTCCACTTCCTCTGCCGTGTCTCTTCTGTCTCCTCATCCGTTCAATCACACACTGAAAACTAGATTGTTGAGAAAACCGAAAAAATGTGCATTGTTCATTACATAAGTTAATATTTGCAATGTGGCTCATGTATACAAAATTCAACCGTGACATTGTTTTTCAAGTTCTTATAAAACTGTAGATCTTTGTAAAATATCCAATTATTAAGGCCTATAAACCTACCTTATTTGGATGAGCCTCTTGTCCCAGTGTAACTAGAATGATCCTTCATCCTTCCATGGTGCATTCAAGTGCATCACGATGGTCGTACTTCCAGAGGTTGGAAATGGTTCTTCCAACTTTGATGTGTTCAGTAAATTGATGTCGTAATGTAGAAATAACAGAAGCTACAAAGAAGATGGGTTTTTATCGCTCAGTGTTTAAAGGAGCTTTTTATCTCAGTTTCCTAATAGATTCAAATTATATTTAAAAAAAAAAGGTTTTTAACAGGCTACAATTATTTATATTATTTGTCAGTGACTACATTCACAGGGAACGCATACAGAATTATCTCTTACATGTGAAACAACAGGTTGTTAGTCAGAATTACTTTGTCCTTGAATACAAAGATTATTCATTTGACAAAATGTGTGAAGATGTTCCAATAAACGAAGAGCACTTCAAAGCCTTTTTCAGACTCTTAAATTATCGAGTACCCCCTGTAAAGTTTGTGTTTGAGAATCAACATGCAAATGGGCAACCTTTCTTGTTAATAAAAGTCTCACCTTAATCTCAAAAAACACTTTTACAATCGGACTAAAATACAATTATTTGTACAATGACATTGATATAATTAGCTATTTAAAAGATAGAAAAAATAACTGAATAATTTAGGTAAATAATCTCTCTGATGTGGCTTAATGAAAACAAACAGCTAGCTGCCAATTTCTAATGGGCCATCTTTCATGTGAATGGACACAAAGACTTAAAACCCACGTCTTATTGAGCGGTCCGATTGGAAATTCACTGATTTGGCCACATTTTGAAGACGGAACAAAAACCTGCCAACAAACCCTTCAGATATCTATGCACCCACTGGCACACGCTGCCAATTAGCATGATCTCGAAAGCGCTAATGGAATCTTGAGTGGTAATAAAAGTAAATAATTAAATTAGAGGAACCCTTGTGTCATTGTTTGCTGTATTCAGGCCCATTAGGACCTCCAGTGTTCTCATGGTAATATAATGTTTGGGCTTTTTTGTGTCCTCATAATGAATTCAGTGTTTTTTCTCCAAACTGTGTTGTTCAGACATTTATGTAGGTGCTGGCAGAGAAACAAAGACGTACATTAGGACCCATTGTCCCCTTGTGATTATTAAAGTAAACAGAAATACTGAAGGGGTATCATACACAGCTGCACACACTCGAGCCTGTGTTTGTGAAGTGGGAGAAAGGGCCAAGCAACCCTTAAGACTTTGTCAGAGATGATCCCATTATTTGGAGCTTCTCAAGAGCCGAGCGGTTGGCGGGCTAATGAGGCTTTGAAGATCGCTCTTCGCCACAGCATTCATGCGCAGGAGCAAAATGGATTTGGCACGAGATAAAATGCTTCGAGCCAAGATCGGCCATGAAGACGTTTCCTGCCTCAGCCCCTGGCTTTTATTTTGCCATGGTGATCATTCGGAGTCCTTTTTAAATACACAAAGTCCATTCTTAGAAGATGAAACTGAAGGTAAAATGTGCCGTCAACAAATTCTCTGCTGCTATACAAATTCAGAAAAGCCGAACAGAAGTACCCAGAGCTCAATGACATTTCTGTCCATTGTTTTGTGCGAAAAACTATTTTAAAGCCCAAAGACTTGCAATCATATACTGTAGGAAACATTCCGATTCTAGAGCCTGTGACTCTAAAACATTAAACCAATCGTCAAAGTAGTTGTAATCTAATGGATAATTTAGTTAATGGAAAATTGAATGGAGGGATTGTTTAGCGTCTTGAAAATCATTATGTACAATGTTATTAGTGGTAAGTAAATGTAGAAAGACACATTTCAGTACATAAAACTCTTGAGATGTTTAATGTTTAAAACTGTTTCTTTAAATAGATACAAGTATTTTATATATAGGATAGCATAATGAAAATCTCGTCCAACATTGAAGCTCAACATAAAAACCTGCTGCCAAATTGTGCGTTTTGAACATTTCTCCCAACATATTGCCCAAAAAGAAACAATATACTGTAAAAAAACATATAGTGTTTGGTTTTTGTTTGTATGGTTGAACATGTGTGTCTGTTTTACTAAAAGCTTGTAACAGTTTGATCAATATGTTTAGACTTACATGGACAAAGGATCTGCAATGCAGGTGTAAATAAAAAGGATGCAAGACATGGATGAATATGTGAAGCAGGAATATAACAGGAGTCGCCTCCAGACATGGCACGGGTATACACGCCATTTATCCAAAAAACATGGTTTCCTGGTTGCGGATTCGTTAATCAAGGCTGTCGGTAGTTACAGTTACAAGCCGGAAACCAAGGAATTCTCTCAATCCTTTGTTAACATTAAAAGACATCTTGAACTAATTTGAATGAGCTCCGCTTTGCCCGGCTGTGGAAAAAGTGGCTCAGGAGCTCCAACTAACGAGAAGGGGAGAAACTCATGAAGGTTATTGTTGCCAGGAGAAGCCATTTTGTTTCATGATTTCACAAAATGTGTTCATCTACTGCTTCATATGTCCATCTGAAGAGCACATGGGTATCATAACACACCCGTAATGACTTATCTTAAACATCTTAAGCATGCGTTTGCCAATCTTAGTCCTGAGACGTTTAACAGTAGTGTGACATGTCTCTCACATTTAGCAAAACTGTAACCAATTCAAGATGCTCTGTTGATCTAGCCAAAACCCATTTTAAGTGTATTCTCTAAAGATAAAACCATATATCTTAGCTCCATTTGGTGTTTAAACACTACTTTAATATCCTAATAACCAAAGTCGTTTAGGCAATTTTGTACGATTTGTGCGTGTTTTGTGAGGTGGAGTTCATTTTATGCAGCTTTAAATAAGAGTAATGTGGCTGTAGAAACATCACATGTCCAGAAGCAGCACTCGTGGGTCTTCCACCACTGCTTTGATCTTGCGGAGGAAAGTCACCGCTTCTCTGCCGTCGACCAGTCGGTGGTCGTATGTCAGAGCCACGTACATCATGGGGCGGATCTCCACCTGCCAGAGCAGAAAGAGGTTTATTACTTATGGTTGAGTTTACTGTGACAGTGACACTATTGCTAACCAAATAGGTCAACTGAAGTCACTCTTTTTTTTAGTGATACTTTTACATCAAGACGTTACTGTAGGGCTTTGCAGAATGTCATTTTTTTACATTTGAAGCTTCTATTAAGGTTTTCAAACAAAGCTTAAAATGCCGGTCTCCATATTTTATGATGTCATTACCTTAAAACTAATGATTTGTCTTTATTGTGGTTATATTAATAAGATGCATGGTGCTGTTTGATTAGCAAACTGATGTCTCCGAGGCAAAATAACAACATATTGATTGAAGCTTAATAGGTTATCAGATAAAAACACATTGTGAAATGTAGGAATAATTACATATATCTTAATAATTTGCGAATTTTGACGCTCTGGAATTATTGGAAATATTTGAATCACACAAGTCAGAATGAATCCTACTAATCTGGAATCTAATTCTACAAACAGAAAAATACTAGTTATGTTAGTGTAGACTACATTTCCTCTGGAACTCTGCAATAATACAGGGTTTAATCCTAATGATAATAACAAAAAACAGCTCAGAAATAAAATATTGATTCAAAATAAGAATGTTAACATTATGTATGAGAGGCTTTGAACTATTTGGTACTGCTCTACATAATAATAATCTGCGTCTACAGACACACAGCTCCCACCTTGCCATTGATGGCCACAGGGCGGTCGAAGATGCCGTGCATGCCGAGGATGGCAGACTGGGGGGGGTTGATGATGGGCGTGCCAAACATGGAGCCAAACA